CCAGTTACTTTTTCAGATGGCTGCAAATGATGGACTATACATGTAGCTTTACACATGTGTCTAACAGTTATACACCAGCATATTATCACAGAGTAAAAAGTAACAAACCACTCAATATAATTTGTAATGTTTCCCTGTAGCACAAAACAAATGATTGTATTATATAAAGTGTCTTTGAAATTAAATACTGAAATGTGTACATGTACAATACTAAGATCTGAAGATGAAATCATCACCTTGTGAAATCGAGGCACATATTAATAAGATGATAAACTCATCTTAAATGCTAGAATTTTAAGCTGTCAAATCTGTATCGGGGGATACCACACCTGAGGTACCTGGTCTGATTGGTATTAATGGGCGTAAATCTGGGGGGGGGGGGTTGAGGTGCATGGTGCAGATATATTGTAAGTCAACTACACCTTGCCAAGGATGAATTTATTTGTTTGTTAAGTGATATGAACTCACTCCTGGTGAAACAAAGAGACAATAAGCATTTGGCATCATTGAATTAATCCATCTTGTGAGTGCAACTGCAATGTTGTTTCAGGTTTTTATTTTTTGCTCATCAACCGACGGTACTTGAGAGGCAAAGAATATGAGAACCATAGAAGACGCCCTTGATGAAAAATAAGTATGAAAGGCTAATCTTGGAAAATCTTTGTGACACGAGCGCCATTCATGATACAAATTTGCATGTGAACAAATGCTCTAACAGATGCAATTTCAGATTATTCTCTGTTGTTTTTACAATTACATTAATATTACGTTAATAAATAAGTTTTCTAAGATGATCCTCCTGTGCTTTTGTTGTCATATTTTGAACTGACACTGCCTCCCCCCACGTTGTCTGATTTGACCAGCTCACTTTAATTTGCTTGGTTGGAGGAGGTGTGAAAGGGGGGTTTATAATCAGCCAACATCTCTGGGCCAGTAATTGTGCACTACTTTCAAACTCAGACACGTTGGTAACAGACAACTGAATCACCTGCAGCTATTGCCAGATCACCATTTGGCATCAGGATGATGTTCTCTGCATGATTACATTCTGTGATGGCAGATCCATTGTGGCTGCCATCAGGACTAAAATGAACGACCTCTTCTGACCCCCTGAGAACATGTAATCTACCTGTAACATAAATGCTTCCATCCCTGTCACAACACACTCCTGTGAGCATTATTTGTTCAAGATGTCTATGTGGACGTCTTTCATGTCGTTGTCTGAGAATGGCATCATGCCGTTGTCTGGGAATGGTACCAAATACCTCACTGCCATCATAGTCTTATCATATCTTATCCTTCTCTTTGTACCCTATGGCTATCAGATTGTTGTCGTCCACGGCGAGGCATGTTGGTTTGCTGTGGAGCTTCCACCGGAGACTAGGTTTGAAGCTGTTCAGAGGATGGTACTGCCTGTTGAATGTCTTGACGACTGTGCCATCTAAGACGATGAGTTCATCGTGCTTGTTCACTGCCACTCGTTTGGGGTTGCACAAACCATCGATCACAATCTCCTTCAGGACTGGAGGAGATTGAGGTGTCTTGAAGGAGATGCTGATCAAGTTTCTGCACTCAGCATCCACAATGACCACTTCGTTGTCGGAGAACACTGCTAAATGAGATGCAGACTTGAACTCAAGTTTTCCATATCGACTTATCTTTTTGCTTTTCTTCCACTTTTTTGTCGGATTAATTGAAGACACCTTGTGTGCTTCAGCCCCCTCTTCTGGTTTTTGATCTTCCTTATCAAGTAACAGCTTCCCTATTGTGACTGATATTTCACTGCTGAAGTCCATGAAAGACAACTTGTTATTCACCTTCTGTGGCAGCTTCTTTGTCAGCTCTCTGAGATTATGCAATACCTTCTGCTTGAAATCTAGCGTCTCATGGCAGCTTGCTTCATCTATGAGTTGTTTCATCGCATGTAGCTTCTGCTCTGTGTCGCTTGCTTCTTTGCTGTTGGTTGCTTGTGCTGCATCCAATATCTTGACTCTGTCTTTGTAGATCTTTTCTGCCTCTTGCTTCAGTCGCTGACCCTCTGCTGTCATTCCGGCAACTCCCTCATCAACCTTTTGTTGTATTTTCTTGTTGGTGTCCATGAACGTACTATCCAGTGTCTTGCGGATCTTCTCGACTTCCTGTGTAGCGGTGCTCAGCTTCGTTCTTTTCTCTTCAGCTTTTGCAGTTGCCTCTGCAATTTCTTGTCTGCACTTGTGCAAGGCCTCCATCTTTCCACTGAGAGAGTGCTTGGCATGGTCTAAAACAGAGCAGGTAGTGCATGCCAGCTGCTCACACGTGTCGCAGTAGATACTGACATACTGGTCTGGATGCTTCCTGCATTTTGGAACCTCCTCTCTCAGTTTACTCTTGTAGGAGATCTCTCCAGAACGGAGCTGGGCCAGAGTGTTCACATCATGCGTTTTCAACGCAGCCATTCGTCTGTGTCCCTTATCGCACTCAAGACAGAGAAAACTGTCACAGTTCATGCACCTTGACACAGCTTCATTTCCCTCATCACAACTTTGACATTTGATCTCTGACCCTTGACCTTCATCAAGCAGCTGTTCCTGCATTGTGAATTCCTCCACCAGGGCTCCCAAAGTAAAGTTATTAGGCAGGGCAGTGACATCGTTCCCTTTCAGCTTGGTATCACGTCTGCAGAGAGGGCATGTTAGCTTGGTACTATCAGGTTCTTGGCGCAGTCTGAGCTCTTGGAGGCATTTCAGGCAGAAACTGTGCAAACAGTCCAGAACTTTGGGCTCCTTGAAACGACAAGAGCAGATGGAGCATTCTAGATGATCCTGGCTGATCTTGCCCAAGACGGATTGAACAGTCACATTTGATGCCATATCTGTGGAAGTACAAACAACAACAATTGCAGCCGGCATGTACATACAGTTTGCTGGAGGATAGAAGGTTGCTGGATGTTTTTAAAGGGGCACTAGGTCCTGAAATCCCCGAAATTGCATGTTTTGGATTGTTTTCTTATCCTATTTCAAACATCTGGTTGAAAGGTAACCAACCTCATGTCTTACCGTTCCCGAGAAAAGACGGAAAATACACACACACAAAAACGGTTGTTTACATCGGACCGACAGAGCACGAATACGTTTTTCCTGTCGTTTTCAGTCAATGTACGATATACATTTTGTGTGTGTCTATTTTAACACACGTACATGTATACCAGCACCGTGCTCGCAAACAGCGGTGACCAATCACCAATGGACAAAGTGTGGTTTCTTAATTACACATCCGTAAAAGGCGAACACTTTATGGATGAAATCACAACTAGCACCCAAACAGCTTGACTTTTTGGGGTCGCAAAAGTGGACCCTGAAAGTCGTTCTCGCACGCATAGTACAGAAATAACACAAAATCGCCCATTTTTTTTAAGGATAGTTGTGTGGATGTTTGTATCCTGTTTTTAAATATTCTTTCGGATTCACATCATTTGTTCAAAGCACATTATGTAGCCCAATTTGGCTGTTACAGGACGCAGTGTCCCTTGAAGGTAATTTAGTTTTCAGATGAATATAACATTATAGCTTAAAGGGAATATACAACATTTGCAAATAATGAAAAACAAAACTACCAAATTTTTACGAAATACCTTACTAGGATGTTGGAAAATGACATCCTAAAGCATCCTGTAAAATTATGGCACCTGGTGTGAAGTCATTTTTAAGAAAAGTGATATTTTGTATAAATTTCCAACACTGGTCGGCCGACCACTGTTGGAAAAACCTAACTATTTTTCAACTACTGCTCCAAATTTATCTTTTTTTCAGTCCAAATTTTGTTTGCTATTGGTTACATGTTCATGAACGGGTGTAGGCCAGCTAGACTGGTTCCCTTTACCCTTACAATTATCCGGCAACTATAAATTGATCCATTTCATCTTTAGTGGAGTCAGGGAACCAGACTGCTTGAATATTTTTGTTTTTCTTGGTTTTTCCAGCATTTTCGAACACAAAACTTAAAACATGACAGTGTAACATTATTTGCTCTATTATACTAACCTCTCAAATAGTTCATTTCTAAAAAATTACAGCAAAAACCAATGATGTACTTTCCCTTTAAGAACAATCACAAAAATTGGATCCACACTTTAACAATGCATGTTTTTATTTACATGTATAGTTCTCAATTGAGTTTGTTACAAAATTTGAAAATTTTGCTGTATGAACATTTATTGCTAATTGCCTTTATGGAACTAAAGTTCACCCCTCCTCCCTTATCATTGTACTTCTGTGGTATATCTCATAGGGGAAAGCAAAAACTTACTTGAACTATGCTGTTGTCCTTTTGTACTGTTGGAACGAGGATCTAACCAACCCTTATGCAGAATTAACACAACCAAGAGCAATCTGCCATGTCTGATATCAATATGTTCCAAGCTGGCAATGGAACATAATGGTGAACGCCGCACCCAATTTTCAATTTTTGGATACACTGAAGGTTAATCCCGTTTTACAAATCCAGATGTTCTTTTGCACATTTCTGCGCACTTGCAGTCTGATATTGATCTTCTTCATTTGGTGTGAAGTACATAATGAGCTGGCTTGTACATATGCTGTGGTTCACCTTGAAAGAGGAATGAAATATGTTGTGATTGAAGGGAAACTGGAATTCTGAAATGTTTTGAGAATAAAAGGAAACTATTAGAGAACAAAATAATTTGAGAAATCGGAGGAAGGAATTTCTTTCTTTATTAGGAAAAACAATAAAGAAAAAGAAAGCTGAATTTATCTGAAACTGGCCCTTCCCTTTTTATGACAACTGAAAAATGTATACCATGTTTTTTGTGTACATTTCTGTCCATATTTTCTTTTTTTCATATGGCATTATGGATAATTTTGAAGTAAACGATTCTTGTGCTCCTCAAATTTGTGCTCAGCCGTATAAAAAGTGTCTTGCCCTTCCTTCTGTCAGACGTCAGTCAAGTCTGTCACAAGAGGGCTCACTTCTCCCGGACCAGTTCAGTGGATGTCATTGCAGTATGTGACAGATATTTTCCAGCCCCCGCTGCATTTTAAATCTTGCAGCATAGATGTAAACTACAATTCCTCTGTATGAGAAACAAACTCCTGTGACAAATGATCTTGTCAAATCCTCAGACAGCATGTCAAGGGAAAGTACAGGGTGCTCTGCCGCCAATTAAATCCAAATTGAAGTCTTGTGAAAACAGTTTGCACGTAAATAATACCGGGGTCGGCACTCATTTGTTATTTTGTTTAAACATTCCGTTCTGCCGTTCCTGGTTCAGAACTGGGTCATTGAGACAAGTCCAAGAGCTGTTACCACTTGGAGATGTCATATAATCTATATGGAATTCTGCATACATGTGTCTAGTGGTGTAATAGCAGTAAAGCGAGAAGGTTACCTAAATATAGAGAATGCTGCCGCCACGTGCCCAAGCAGCGAGACTTAATCCATGCGTCAGTTTGTAAAAACAGAGAAGCTGTTTAACGAAACACCAATGAGTTTAAATGCGGGTGTGAATCATGCATGCAACAATATTTGGAGATAATCATCACATATTGAATTGGGAGCGATGGTCACATTTCTTCCGTTTAAAATAGGCTGAGATGTTGCAAGTACCTTGCAGGGAGACAGGTTGGGGGAACAGTGCTTTCCTTTCCTTAGTCCTGTGTGTTGGGGTTCCAATCTACCCTTGGGCGTTGGGCAGACAGCTACAACACATACCTAAGACGCTTTCGAGAAATCATTATGAGAAATTAAACAAAAATTTAATGAGAAACTATATGTAACGGTTATTTTGTAAAGGTTGAAGAGGCGGCACTGTTGAGCCAAATTCAGCCAGTGTATGCGAGGGCTGAGTCGACTCCAAAAAATTGAATATTTGAACATTCCACCTTCCATTCGACTGAATATTTGAATATTTGGTAAATACCAAAAGGCGGATTATCCGTCATTCAATTTCTAGTTAAATATGGAAGGTTTCATCGTAATTTATTGCAACACAGTTTACATCAATATATCATAACAAAGAATGCTAACTTCGCACATTCATGAATTGTATTTGTCAAAAATCCATTTCCATCAAATTTTGTTACAACAAATTTGACTCCCCCCTTTTATTTCATTGCATTTCACGTCTGAATATTAAAATTGAAAAACAAATATTCAAATTTCGATAATCGATCGTATATTCAAATATTCGGCACAGCCCTAGTGTATGCCAAGCCATAAATGGACAGATTTCTTTATTAATGGGAAAGTATTGTGCCTGAAAAAAAAATTGACAACAAGCACAATGTTTTGCATTTAATTTTCTTTCAAATTAAACATATTCATTAAAGGGAAAATACAACATTTGCAAACATCAAAAAATAAAACTACCAAATCATTTTGAAATACCTTGCTGGACTGTTAGTGAATGACAGTGTAAAGCATCCTGTAAAATCATGGCACCTGGTATACTGTCATTTTCAAGAAAAGTGGTATTTTTGTATCAATTTCCAACGCTGATCGGACGATCAGCGTTGGAAAAAACTGGCTTTTTTTCAAATACTGGCCCCAATTGACCATCGCACTTGTTTGCAATCGATTACACACCTATGAACGGGTACAAGCCAGCTAGACTGGTTCCCTGACCTTACAATTCCCCAATGTATGTAAACTGCTCTGTTTCTTCTTAAATGGATTGTTAAAAATGATTGTTTTTCTTGATTTTTATAGCATTTTTGAACCCAAAACTTCAAAAAAGTCAGTGTAACTATATTTGCTATATATTTCCAACCCCCCAATTTCATCCATTTCTGAAAATTACAGCAAAAGCAAATGATGTATATTCCCTTTAAACAATTTCATGTGATGCGAAGATTAATGTTTCTGACAAATAATCACTCATTCTACGTTATCCTCCATCATTTCTAGGTCAGGATCAACGCTGCCTTGGCCCTAAGTATTCCTACTCATCGCAGTTGCTATGGCGACATAGACCGGTTCTGTTTAGTCTGGTCCAGCATCGTCCATGCTCTAGAGGTGATTGACCAGGTGGCGGACGTCTCAGAACTCAAATACAAAGACACTCTGCGAGATCAGGTACAATGTCAGTTTTCTTACTTTTTATTTAAAGAAATAATAACAGTGTTGGGAGTTGAGCAAATTTTTATGTTATTTTTTTTGCATTCGCAAGACAAATTTCATCTGAAACATTTGAAAATGTATTCACACCTGGGCCCTATCTCATGGATGTGCTTTACCGTTAGCAAAAATCCCTGCTTACTGTATGAGAAAATTGTGTGCGTACGGTACTAAAGCGTATTTCATGGGTTAGCGAGGAAATTTGGCTTATGCCCATTCGTACATCCCACAACTAAGGATTCTGTGCTTACTGGGTCAGCACAGAATGTTTCTGCTAGCACTGTTAGCACACAATTGTGAGCGTAAGCACAGAATTCTGTGGTTCGCAGAGTCACGGCATTGGACCCTGGACCCAGTGCCATGGAGCTCTTAAAGCTATAGTCCATCATTTGCAGATATTTCAAAAGTAACTGGCGTAATTATTGTTCAAAAACATACTTGGTTGAAAGATAGTAAGGGGATAAACTCCCTGTGAAATTGTTCTTTCTGGCAAGCTGCCATTTTGAAGAAATCAACGAAAGAAGGCCTTTCCAACGGTGCGTCTTAAGAAGCACCGTTGGAAATTTCCGTTATAAGCAAAAGCAAATGTTGAACATTCTCTTTAAAGCATTGAGGGTGATTTTTTTTCTCACACAAGATCCCTTGAATGAAGTGACTGAACTACAAAAAAAGGCAAACAAAAACATTTATGTTGGTTTGGCAATAACCTTTTTATCAGTAACTCACATTACAAGAAAAAGATATGGCCAAAAATGAAAATACCTTGCATTTGAAAGTTTCCGCATACTGTGCAATGATGGGCAAAACATTTTAAGTACCCTTACATGTAATTCATTGGGGTGTAAGTCAAATGCTACCATTTCAATTATTGAAACAATTATCAACCAGAGGTAGGCCTATATATTTCAGTAACTCACGTTATGGTAACTCACGTTATGGTTTCCACCCATTTGGTACAAGTTAAAGCATAAAATATGAACATTTTTCTCTACCTTATAAACAAAATTCACAATAACACTTGCATTTTGCATGTACATGTAAAAACAAGATGCCAAAACGACTACCTAAAATCCATAATTTTAGCCCACTAAAAAGCATGTTTTTGACCAAAAAATACACTTAACTCAATGCCACATCACTCAAATGAAAGGTCATGTTGTCCCCTTCAATTTGACACCACATGTGAGTTGTGTTGTGCTTGCAGTTTTGAAGATTTCATAAATTTGCCATTTTCCAGCCATGTCCAATTTCTCGTGGAATTACGTACAGTATCCCTCCACGTCCCACACATGCCAACTCTCTCACTGAAGTCGTTTCCCCCCGTAAATCAAAAATTACTTTCCCTGTGATTTTGTGATGATCATGCAAAATTTTGCCCAAACTTCTTTCAAATTGTGATAAACGTGAGGTCCTTAAGCGATGAGCCCATGTACGAGCTCTTCCTTCTTGCCAGATTTTTGCCGTCAATTCAACGTATGAAACTTGTAAAACATATTTATGTCAGAGTGACGAGTTAATGCAATAAAATCTGACTTTAACACTCACCCAGGTAAAGCTGACATTACCAATACATATTTTAACTTCAACGACCTGATTTATTCATGAAAAAGCGGCTACAGGAGTAGGACACTTCACAAAAAATTTGAACTCTCTTCACACGTACAGTTCCCTCTCGTAATATTCCTTTAATCTTCACATTCGTCGTGGCAATAAGGAATAATTTATCACCCCCATGCACGCTGCTTCCCCTCATCATCCAATTGCTATTTTTTTGATGAAGCACCCTGTCTGCCGACCGACAGACTGCGTGTGTCAGCTTCATCTCCGCTCTCTCTCTAAAAAAAAATGCTGTCTCCCAAGCGATTATTTCTCTGTCTGATGTTCAAATTGTCATTGTGGGGTTCTTAATTCCAAACTGCCATCCCCGGGCCTCAGACGCTCTGTGTAGCAAGCACTTGAAAGGTGGCAACAGCGCCCTGACGTTAATCCCGATGTTTTGTCCCCCCCGTTTTGTTTCTGGTTGGGGAAAAGGCGGCCGGTCGGGGATGAGTTTATTTTCACGGACTGTAATTGAATTCTGGTCGTGTAGCAGTTGTTTAGGATTGTTTAGAATGAAGGAGTCAAGAGGAGGGGGATTGCGGAGTGAGATTTGTGATTGGTTCAATGCGATGAGAGACATGGGTGAATCTGGGAGGTGGGGGAGGCTTGAGATGAGAGTGAAATCACCACAAGTGTTCACTCTTCGTCTGTTGCCGTCCCATGATCAGCCTGAGGGAATTACAGAATGTGACGGTGAACACTCGAGAGGTTGACAAGTTGAGTAATGTGCTTGTAGATCATTGCTCCCCATTGCAGGAAGCGTGCGAGTAATCCTTCACAAGCGATCGGGCAGGTAGTCGTGTTCAGAGTGCTTGGGGTTTCTCTTGTTCAGGTTCCGCATGCCTGGGGTTAACATGTGTGTGATCTTGAACCTAGAAGCCTCGGGAAGGAATTGTGATTTCATGTAGTCAAGGGCACTATTTCACACACGGTAAATGCAGTATCCTGTCAAGCTAGTGTGGATGCTAGTTTGATAGAGCGCCCATGCAGAAGAATTATTTGGAATTTTACTGCCAGAGGGCCACAAGATGTGTAGAGAGAGAAACAATGGAAAGGAGGGATGTGCATTTACGGGTAGTACAGGAACCTGGTACCCGATTGAAAAAAAAAAACCCTGGGGTACCCAGGTACCCGTTAAAGAAACCCAACCCCCAAATTCAAATCTCGGAAGTAGCTGTTCCTATTGTTGATAAAGGTTTGCACGATAATATTACCACATCGGTGCATCAATACAGCAAGATACAAGTGTGACCAGTGATATTTGTAGCTTTACTGTATAAAACTGCTACTTTTGCAAGCATCATAAAATGGAAAAACGTTTTGATTTCCCATGTAGCCTGGTTTTCATTTTGAAAATTCCCCACAAATGACATTCAGTATACCTTTCATTGTCTGAGAAGATACTAAGTAATTTGTAAAGTTGGTTATGGATACTATTATCTGAAACTGGTTCCTGACATCAAGGGTCAGGTACTCGGGTGCCCGGTTCCAATGCTCAGGCCTAATGAAAAGGTTTATGTTATTGTTATTTTCTACTCCGTTAAACATTCTCTGTTGGAACCAACAGTGGCCATTTCATTGGATGGCTATTAAAACCCAGAAGTTTGGTAAACTCAAAATATGTTTGCTTAGGAAATATGGGTTACTAGCCAAAATGTCATTCAATGTCCATTTGCTAATGTATTTGTTCCCAGCTGGTTTTTTGTATTAATGTGCTTAGCAATGTCTTCTGCTTAGGAGTGACCGCCTTGAAATAAGCCTGAGTTCAGTATTTCAACTGCTCATGCACACAATGATATGGGTCACGGTTATTCGAGATAATCCAAGGCGCATGAACGTGCACACAGCCATGTTTTACTTTACTCTCAAGGACAATGTTTTGTGTTTCCCTTTGTCCCTATGGGCCTTATTCACGAGTTGGCCATTTTTGTCAAGTTCTCCCTGAATGTATTTCATTAATTGTTAACTGTTGAATGGGATGGCGCCAGACTATTTATGCAGGCACAATGTTGCCTTATTTTCGGGGTGTATGTAGTACATGTACAGGGAAACGGGCGCACGACGTTCATGTGTAAATTATCGCGTAACAACACAGTGATTTTATCCCAAATGACCTTTGACCTGGACTGCTTCATTGGGATACCGAACTGGCTTATTGGGTCCAGAAAGCTAGCAGGGCCCAATTTCTGACATCGCTAATATAAGCACACAATTTTGTTTAAGAGCCTCTATCGTCCATTACAAGGAAACTGTAAAAAAAAAAAATTAAAAACACAGTAAAGAGCGTGTTCACTTCAGGTGTAACACTTGATTAAAACAGCAACACACTCAAATTCCCAAGCTTACAGCATTGTACAAAAGTCACATCATGAAATATTCTGAAGATTTGAACAATTTTTCTAAGAAAACCACTGACTAGTTCCATCAATATTCCACTATTAAAGCCACTGAACTTACCAGAAGTTGTCATGCCATTTAATTTGTAGTTGAAAGTTTTTGTTTATTTTTGGCATCAAATTTACATGTACAAAGTATACATTATCTGCATGTTTTGGTTGCAGCTTTGCCAAACCCTCACCCACCTAGGGGGCCTCATCGGTCAAGATGACCTTTCACCTTTGCATAAACTTATGAAGGACCGGACTGACATGTTGGAGTCCCATCTCAGCCGATACAGAGGGGCAAAACTGACGACAGTGGACGATACAAGAGGTAAATTGTGGTCAAAATTTAATACTGTTCAATTTTCCAGTTTTAAAGATATCATTGATAGGATGTGGAATTTCAAAGAAAGATATCCATTCAGGATTCTTAAAATATTAAGATTCTTCTTATCCTTTGAAATCCTTTCCTTGAACATGTGTATAATGTTTTATTTGTGACAATAGTACATTGACAAAAATTCTACCTTAAAATATATAGATTCATGCTATTGGTATCATGTAAATTCAAGTGCTAAAAATGATACTCATATAAAACTACAGACAGTGGCGTAACTAGGTTTAAACATGGGGGGGGGCACCTATGCATGCATGCATTTTTCAAGGGGGGTAATAAAGTTAATGATATATATTTTTGTTCAATTCAATATTTTAAGGGGGGCAAAGTACATCCTCTGTTAAAAAACTTGAAGCAAATTTTTCTCCCTAAAATTGAAACAGCTGTGACTCGAATGATGACAATGATGAACATCAGATCTACCAAAGGGAGTTGATTCCAAATGGGGACAATGACTTATCGCCAACACATGTATCGTTAATTACGTGAAACAAGCGGCGCCCGACTAATGCCCATGTGGTATAGAAACTACAAGACATACAGGAATAAGGCTCCCAGACCAGTGCAAGTCACAAGTGTTAGTCAATCATTCAATCAGTTTTAAAGTGTGATGAGTGTAGGCTGGCACTCATCAGAGAATAATATGAATTTGTATGCTATGTATGCTTTAAATGCGGTGAGTGTCAAGCCTATATATGCCTTGGGGGAAGTTGGACCCAAAAAAATTGGAAAGAAACATCCATTAGCAATCTAACCATAATGCCACGGTGCTGCATTTGATGATCAGTGCATCCTTTCTGTTTATAATAAAAATAAAACTCAATTATTGTGAAAATTACAGCACGCTTGCCCGGTTCCTTCATCACCAGACGATGGATCATTTTAATTTAATTTTACCAGAAGGTTGTAATTCACTTGTGATATTTTTTCTTCGGGGACCCCCCCCCCCCCCCCCCCCCCAAGGAAAAATAATCATGTTGGCTTCGAGGTGTGATATCTGGATTGATGTGATTGGATTCTAAAAATATCATTTGTGGAGACCGATTTTAGGGAAATTGAACAAATAGTGTTAGATTTGGCTTATTTTTACCATCTTGGCTACTTGAGCTAATGCTTATTGGGCATGCTAAGTATATCTTGCTTGGAAAATTTGGTTACAGGGGTATTAATTTCAATATTGGGATTTTCCTTAGACATCTTTCAATGTACTTAATAAGTTGAGAAATCATCATGTGTTTTAACCACAAAGTAAAAAGTATTCAGAAAACATCTTTGAGCATTTGAAACTGAGTTGACGTTTTTGAGTGACTTAAATTTTGCCCAAGTTAGATTGTATTGATTTAGGAAGCATATCAGGGGCGGGTCCAGGTTTGTCTCAAAGAGTTTGTTTAGCTGTCTAGGGGGCTTTGCCGCTTTGTCAGCCGTCTGCCCCCCCCCCCCCCCCCCCCCGTAGATATGCCACTGTATACAAAGATTAATTTACAAGAAGTGCATGTTGTTTAATTAACTCGCCTTTTGTTTGATCAGTCACAGACAGTCAAAAATTCATTCGGCTTCCCCTGCCATGCCTCATACACAGGCTAGTCACCAACAGTCAGATCATATGTTTGTATCGGCACTGTGACAAGTCAAATTCCATCAACAGACAAAATAGCAGGTGACTGGTAGGCACAGCTTGCTTATCAATCTTCTACAGTCAAAGTATAGCTATACCAGGTTTCAGCACAGTCACTACTAGTCAGTCCTGCATTATGAAGGCAGGGAAGCGCTCAACTATTACAAACAGTCACTTGATTTATTTGGACCGCTGGGCTGGCCTTGTTGAAATTGCCAGTCTCCGAGAGGGACAGTTAAAATTAATGAAACCCAAAGAATGTACAATGTATCCCGTGATGAAGCATTTAAATTAATCTAAAGTCATTTAATCATCTATCAACCGCCGTAAATCACTTTTTAAACAAGAAAATAAATCATTGTCAGTTTAATCACTTTCTGCTAATAAGATAGACGCATGGATATTTATAGAGTTGGACAAAGAACAGAAACATCCACAGGACATGAAAATAAACTTTCATCCCTGATGAAATATATTCATTACGGATCAGTCAGCCTGCAGGCCTGCGTAATAATGTGCTTGTCAAACCACATAAATAAACACTGTCAAGTAGGACGTGCACTTTACACGCACATGTAGGCATCGTCTGGGTCCTGCCACCTAAAAAACAATTGGAGAGAAAGTAGAAAATGTATTATACATAAAGCTAAAAAAAAAAAAAAAAACCCAGCTCAGATTTTGTCAGTAATTAGAAACGAGTGGAGAAGAGGGGTAAAAATACACCACATGGAAAGTCACCAGCGAATTAGATGGATATTGCACATAGGGTAGTCGTGCGTAACAAGTGCTGTGCTTGTTGAAAAATCTAATCAGTCAAATGCATGGAATTGACTCGAGTCTCGGAAAGCACTTTAGTTGGACCGAGAAGCATTGTGTGAGCAATATCTCCATTAAGATTGGGCCTGCAGGATGCGGGGTGGCTGGGAGTGTAATTGAGTTGTTTTCTGAGAAATGAAAAATATATTTTTGATGTGATGGATGTCCACACTTTGCATTGACGTAGTGATGGTGTAGTTGAAATTTAGAGTTTTTAGACAAACAGATTTCTAGATTTTAGCACATTTTATTAAAGAAATTGGAGGACTTTTTTTCGAAATTTGAAGCAGCAAATCAACAGCAAATAAAATTGGAATAGTTGTTCATTCAAACAACTGTGGTTATTTTAGTAACTTCAAGTGTGGATCAGAGTTGTAGAATAGGAATCTGAGACAATTTAGTGTCGCACTTTGTTTTCACGTGTGCGTGCATATGGAAGTTAAGTGGGAACAATGATGTCTCGTTCCCAACTGGCTCCGAAAAGAAAGCTCAGCTACAAATTTGACGTCATATGAAATTCTGTAACAAATCAGTGAAAACAAGAAGAAAATATTCCTTTCAAGAAAAAAATCCTGCCGTTCCAGTAAAAAAATTCTCAGGTGGACTAAATTTCATATATTCTTGAATGAAAAAACCCAGAGAATTGGTGACGAAAGTGTTAATGTATTCAATTGGACAGAATCAGTTTTTTCTTATAATAGGTTTCAACGAAAATCATCTTATTATCTGAATCTGTAGGTGCATTGCTCTCCGCAGCCTCCGTTCATCTTCAGGACTTGATGAACATCAAGGACATCACGGCGGAAGACCGAAACTGTGCAGCCCAGCTAGTCAGGATGTTTGCAGAGCCTTGAAGAAAGCACCTCACGGAGAAGTTTCCTTGGAGTTGAGCTTAAAGGTCTGGGAACAATTGCGTGGCGCTGATGAACACTTAACAGAAAACAAAGCATTAATGATAAGCAAACAGATTTTCTTTAGCAGATATTATTAAGTGAGAAACCAGTTCCAATCAATGCACATTTAATTATGATTTTGTTGGCAACATTTTCTACCTGTCTAGCAACTCTATAACATACCCCCAGATTATTGCACTCCAGTGCAGCGATCCCAGGGGGCGGGGACATGTTCCACTAATAATTTTTGTGCGGACAATGCCAAACCCCCTAATAGAGTTTAACCAAATGTAACTAAATTTGTACTGTACTTTTCCCCAAAAATTTCACATAACCGCGTAAATTCGTATGTATATGTATATAATTATGTGTGCAAACATGCATCTTTGAACAGGGCGCTCCCTCTATCCGGTTCGTTAGTGTGACGTCACTTCAGTTTATACCACGCCCACTGCCCATTGAACCGGAAGTTAACGCAACTTACGTGTTTATCCAATGGGCGCTAGTAATCAGTGGTGCGCGCGCGTGTATGACGTTTTTACTAACGATCCGGATAGTCAGATGGTGTTGTCCCCCCCCCCCCCCCCCTCAGTTTTCGAACTTCTAAGCTGCTGCAAAACGCAGAAATTTGTAGGTATAGACCTGATGTGTTGCAGGTATCACAAAGGGTGGTTTTTTTTTTATTGATTTAGTAACAATGGATTCACAAAAGGTTTACTCATACCTATCCAATTGATACAAAAACCATTGCCCTCTAACTCCGCCTAAATGCAAGAGGTCTATAGTGGAATATTGCTTTGGTAAGGAAACAAGCAAATTTCCCTTTGAATTAGTCTAACACTTACACTCGTAAGGTCGCAGTGCTTTAAGAATAGGAATTACATGTATCTTGGTATATTAATTATTTGTGCCACAGGTCTATGACATTTGATATTGACCAATTGGAATTGCAGATTTTCGTTTTTGAGCAGCGCCTGAGCCAAGTACTCTGAGCGAGGTTTAAAGTATGGCCTAAGAAATAGTGTTGGGATTCGGCTTGTTCATCTCCTTTAAAACAAATAATTCCCTTTTTTTCAAAGGGGTGTATACTTTGAAACCAATAGATTGTTTCTATCAAATTCACTCACCCAATGATTTCTGGATAGAAACACAGATATCAAAACTTGAAAATTACTATATGTAGTATAACTGTCTTGCTAAAGAAGAGCAAACCTAAAGAGGTTGCCGCACATGCCAATTTAAATATCAGAAAAAAATGAGCACATTACATTTCAACTCCGGCCGATAAGTCATTTTCAATGCAAATATTTTGTCAAATTGGCTTGCCATTCGCTTTTTTTTCAACGTCAGGTCTGAATGGCACCAGCCTCTAATGCAGGCATGCTGCTGTATCTGTTGTGAAGGCTTTCACCAATAGGTTCAAATAGAATCAGTTCTCCCTCCAGACATTTCATCAAAGGTCAACCCCCAGTGTAAACAACGGGGAGTGACTGCGGCTTGTAACTTCGTCCCATCACGTCCTGTGAATTCGATATTTCATTGATTTGTGTCGCAGGGGAGAAAAATGAAATGTATAAAACAAAAAGAGGTGGCGACTTCAATATAAGCGGCCATCAGGAATATTGTAGGACTTGTAAAAAACAGGAAATGAATTCTAGCCTAGTGGAAGGAGAACGCAACACGGAAAATTCCCGCGAGTTTGAAGTCAGGCTTCTGCAAGCAGAGATGAAAGTGCATTACCTACCAACGTTTAAATAGACATATCTTTTAGTTCTGCCGCCCTGGCAGGGTAGATTTGTGACAAACAATTTCCAAAATTATTGTCACGAGTTGTTTGAACATTTGCTGTTGCCAGTTTCACAAGGTTTAATGAAATTTGCTTTTGTCTGATGGACTGATGTATTCTGTAGATTTATTTTGTAAAAAAAAAAAATTAGAAGGTTTGTGATGTGTAATGAATCAAATAGTTGAGTGAAGATTAAGCTTTTTTCTTCAGAAGATTAAAAAGTGGCTTTGAAAGACGGGTTACAGAAGAAAATATTGTTGAAAGAAAAATTTTCGCGTGTTGATGTTGTGATTTGACAATGGTTTAAATATCTTCTAGAAATGTCTCAACAAAATGAAGTCATGCCCTTTTCCCACCCCACTTTTTGAATTTCCCTTCTTACACTCCAGTATGGTCAGGATTTACATTCTCCATGGGGCAGACGTTGAAATGAAAGATGGATCTATTATGTTGCTCTTCACACACGACTGTCACACCCATATACACACCCAGCCTTACCTTCCATACCTACTGTGGACATTCATATGTATTCGTGTAGTTAAGAAAAACCTGAGAAAAAAAACTCATTTTACTTGCACTGTGAACAGATTCTTTCAACCCAATTTGTTTTATCATGATTTCCTAGAGTGCTCCTCTTCATTTTTGACACATAAACCTAACCCCCAAATGCCTCTAAATCTGTTTTCCAGAGAGGGGAAAACCTAGAGTATGTTTACACCGGCAATCGTGGACCCAGGACAAAAGGGTCAGGGTACAAACAATACGTCCACGATTGACCGAACGTCCACGATTGAAATTCGTGTACAAAACCAATGAGAGCTGTTGCTAAAAAGTTAATGTACTAACAAATGAATGAGAATTAGGGACAATGGGGGGTCCACGATTGCCAGTGTTTACGAAGATGGATGTGTGGACGTTTGCAAGTCCGCTAAACGTTCACAAGTCCGCAAAACGTTCACGCTTCTTGCATTTTGGTCACACGTCCACAGAGAGTATGCAGCTCAGATCAGGGCTAGAGCCCCCATAAGGCCAGACATGCGCGCACCGATTTTTAAAAAAAAATCAGATCCGTCCATGGGGCAAAAGTTGTCTCTCCCCCGCCTCGAAAAGCGACTCTGGCCCGCAGGCCTCGTGAGAGTAGCGTCCCAATGGGCAGACTATCACCGAGTCACGTCGATCCACGCGCGTATCAATTCCGTAGGCCAGTGGTTGGGGAAAAGCGGCAGACCCCTATCCGCCAGAATTTTGTGAATATTTTGTGTATTCTGCCGCGTCGGGGTTGATGTCGATCATTTTTAATGGCAAGCACGCCCAGTATAATGTAAGAGCTACATGTACACACTCGGGAACAGATGAAGTATGAAAGGAATTTAATCAAATGCCTTAAGTTTTTTCACGAAAGTTTAACATAATTATACAAGATCGATCGAGAACACAACGACTAGTTTATCCATGGGGCCTTCCTCCATGGTTTATCGAACGCATGCCCTGTGGCAATTTAGCGAAAGCCATGGCCTTCATATGACTATAATTGCCACACCAATGAAAACGCACTAACTATTTAAAACACACCCTCATTTGATTTTCATAAAGAAGTGGTCAGCAAACCACGAAATTAATTCGATATTGGCCAAAAAAAGAAGATGTTTGTAAGGGCTGTCCCTAGGGGCCGTCCATAAATGCGTAGGCCCGAAAGGGGGGGGGGGATGTTGGCATTGCGCACACCATGCGTTCAAGCCAATGCGTATTATTACGCAGAGCAATATTTGCTTTCAATGATTTGTCATGAAATCAGTGTAATTTATCATTTAATACCCATCAGCAGCGGCATAGCCAGCGTTCTCACCATAGGAGTGAGGGGGATCTCTGTGGCATCCGTGCAGAAGGGTAAAAATATTGTTCCACGGGTCAGCGTCACCCGGCCTCCATAAACTCACTCGTGAAGAAAAGGCTGCTCGTGAGAAAGGACTAGTAAATTACCGGGAAGGGGGATGTCTTAAGTTGTGATTTGAAATTTTCCAAGGATGGGCTGATCTTTATTTGGTGAGGTCAATTATTCCATTCTTCTGGTGCTGCATAATGAAATGTCAGTTGGCCATAGGATTTGGTATGAACTGTACGTGGAGTTCGTTATAAACACTGTACCCTTCCACCCCACTATTTAGATTTACTTCCCAATGCCACAGCCAGCCAACACCTGAGCTGTAGAGGTAATTCAACTTCAGAGACCGCAATATTACTAAATAAAAAAGACTGCTTCAATAATAACCGGCAAGTGTAGCGCATTCGTAATTCTTGAACATTTAATCCCGAAATAGACATAGGCTATCGCTATCTCTATTTCTAATAATAGAGATATCTCTGTTTTGAAATGGAGCTATCTCTATCAGAAATTGAGATATCGCTTTCTGATAGAGATATCTGTATTTCGGGATTAAATGTTAACTGTACGCCGCACATGTACAGTACATTGTAGTACACCGGAAACGATACATGTATGTTTCTGGTACTATGGAATGCGTATCCGCACAGGGTGAATGGAGGGGGCTGGGGTTCGGAACCACTGCCTATGCCATGCATAAAAAAAGGTCTAAAAAGTCAGCATTTCGTGCTTGCGTAATTATTATTAGACGATAGCGATAGCTAAAAAAAAAATGCGATAGCCTGCGGCAGTGTCCTGAATATCACTTTCTAAGATTTCCACAGCAAGCCGATAAGCCTTCCTTTCCATAAGTCTTTATGCTTGAATTTTAGTCGATATTGAGTCCACCGACACTATTCAGTTACAAAGTCGGACTCTAGTCGCCGAGATGTACACCTTTAACACGAATGCCGCTTGTGCGCGTAGGGGAAACATATCTATGCCCTAGAACGGATGAAACTTAAGGAGCCCGTCTCGGTTTGAGATCAGACAGAATATTATAGATTTAGTGGGAGAGTCTTATATTCCTTTCTCAAACTATTAAGACATTTTCAACGGTCCCGATCCTATGAAACCTTGTTTGTTTCGATTTCTTTCAAATCGGTGTCTAGTTGTTCTCGCTCTGTGAGTTGTGAGTTCAGAGCCCTTGTTATTGGAGCTGGGATTAAAGCGGTAGATCAGACGGGGATCGGGAAAAAAAGAGGTTTCTAGGTCTGCGCGATCGCGGGAAATCGTTTCAGAAGTGTCACACATCGGCTAACTTCACAACTTTACAACCGGTGTATAGCTGTAACGATCTTTGCGCCCAGAGGTCTGCTTTCTGCGCGCTCGACGCCAGAATATATCGCGCACCTCAAAAATTACTAGCACGAATTTCATTACGCGGAGGTGCTAGGTAAGCACAGCGCTGGCACGGTGCTGGTGCCGTGCTTGTTTGCAGTTTCAAAGCAACGTAAAGATGATCTCTATCTTTGTAAAACACAAAAGGACGTTTTGAGCCAAGTTGAGGAGGGTCGGGTGTAGAATGGGGTTATCTCCCTCTGGAGGGCGGTATCCTACCGAAATCTTCATTATGCGTCGTTTATTGTATTAGCTGAGTGTAATTATTGTTTTTCTTAAAATGATAGTGAGCAAAATGCGTCAACGTGATGTTTTTAATTCCATAAAAATTGAAATCCTCACAGCCAGGAAAATCTATAGAATTAATGTTTAATCAAGAAAACAATTCCTTGAAATAAACCAATTACGGGCGAAATAAAGTCGTAGAAAGGATTCGAACTTGTGCTCCGGGGAAACCGATTTTGAGTTCGGCGCCATTT